TCATGAAAATCAACTAGGTCTCTCCTATGGTTTTCAATTCAATTCATTGGAAGAAGTCCTTTCTATAAATAATGGAGGAAAACAAAACTGCGATGCAAAAACATTCGATGCGTCTCAAAATTTTATTAACTTTGTTTTCTGTTTGGTAAAATATTGCAAAAAAAATCAGAAACTCAATACAATTCTTGGAAATTGCTTCAATAACTTAATAATTGTTGTCTTTTGAGTAATATTCATTCAAATCAAAATATTACCATCGACTTTTTACTATTCTAAAATCAACAACTAAAATAAATGAAATAATCATCGGTTGAACTAAGTCATATTTTGAGCACAATAAAAATCTGACTGAATGATAAACGTGAATTTTACCTGATATCGATGATACGTATCAGTGATCATATTTAGCCGTGTACATACATTGCGAACTGAGCATATAAGTGTGAAAGCACTGAGTTTGTCCAAAATGCGATAGACAATCTCGACAGGTAATGCCAAAAAAGACAAATGAACTTTGCTAGCCATATATGTTGCTTGTTTTCGAATAGTATATGTCATTAAAGTGAATTTCTTTTTAAATTTGCCATTCTCTTTGTCAATGTGTTTATTGACAATGTGTTATCAACTTTCATCGTAGTTATGCAATTTTTTTCTTGTATACGTAATTGAAAGAAGTGTACTGAGAAAAGTCTAATGACAAAGTAGATTTGTAAAAGTACTCATAAATATATCATATGTTTATATCTGAACTTGATTCGAAAATTTGAGTATGTATAATTGATCGTTCATGAGAATATTTATTCTTCTTGAATATATTCAAGATCTTCACGTTTTCTTTCTCTCCATTTCGTTTCAGCTTTCAAGATAGAAGCAAAGAGAAAAAAAAGATAAGCGAAAATTTTGCAACATAAGATGACAAATAGATGAAACAAAGAAGTAAAGACATGGTTAAAAATGTCAATATTGCAATTTTATTCTTACAATACAAGATAAGTGTCACACGTGCCCATACAACGAGAGACTAAAATAGTACTTTTTGTATACGCAGTTGCTTAACACAAAATTCATCTTGAATAATAAAGAGAAAAGACTAAAATAAGATTATTGTTACTGTTTGCATTATTAACAATATAGAAGAATTTATTTTTTGATCGCGTTTGCAAAAGAAAAATAGTGGCAGGTAAAAATCCGTAAACGAAATTTCAATAAAATAATATTAAAAGAGACATAATCCTGCTGGCGTTTCGTATATCCATGAAAATTGCTTTTTCAAGTTTATGAATTGGAACAAGTTCTTGAACTTTAATTGGGCGCAAAGTTCTTCGTTTAAAGTTTTCATGCAAGAAAATAATTTAAAATTTGTAGAAAAATACCTTGTATCTAATGAAATGTACTGCATAAATGAGTAAGTTACATTCCGAAAATATGACAATAGAAAAGATGTGTATTTTATTCTAGAAGGTCTTCTTTGGAATATTTCGTTAAACTTATTAACTTTATTTGAGAAGAAAACGCTGTTAGCTTTCTATATGATAAAAACCGCCAACGTACCAGCAGCTCATCATAGTTTCATCGCTCCCGTTAACGACTCTATTTATCTTCATAAACCGTCACCCAATCAAGTGCGAAAGTTTAAAAAAATGCGTTTACATACGTAATCTGCTTTCGACATGACATGCTTGTGAATGTGTCATAGAGTGAACTATGTTCGTTTTGACATACATGAAAAGGATGTGGGTGCGAGTGTGAATGTGCACCTTCATTTCACCGACACTCACACCCACACCCACAAGATCTTTATACCATCTAATACACAAAAAGCTGGAAAATTAGTTTGTGGAATTTTCATCCATTGGAAAATATAAATTGCATAAAGACTATAAAGAAGGCTATCAACTGATACTCAAAGTTTTCTTCTATAGGTTTAAATTCTAATGAGCGTGGTCGAATAAAAAAATAAATAAAATGACCATTGAAAATTTGTATGTGTATTTGTTATTTTCGTGGTTTATCGGACTAAAGTGAAATATTAAATTATGAGTTGTATATCATTTAATTTTGATGATGTGATATTTGCCATTATTAAGTCTAAATTATACCGACTAAAAATTTTTATTTTCATCGTTAGTTTTGAATCTGAATCAAAGATTATGAGTTATACTCAGAACTATTTTCGAGAATCGATTTCTTTAATTTCAGTCAGAATCTTTTCCAAGAGAAAAAATAAATAATCAGCAGATAGAAATGCCATGTGCCTTATATGATAAATATACATAATTGTAGACCGAACGATTGTCCAAGCCTTTGTTTGTTTGAAAACCCATATTGACTTATTTTTTCCTAGCAAGAAAAAATGTTTAAAAGAAAGATCTCGGCAACTGTCAACTTTTAAAATAAGCTGATGAAATGCCAAAAAAAAATATATAAATTTAACGATTGGTTACTCCCTCAGTCTCTCTTTTACACGAAAACAAAAAAAGTGTACAGAAAAAATCTCGCATAGATACATTTTTTTCATCAACGATAAATTCATATACGATAGTGACATTGAGTTTTTTCTTTTTCACAACGAGAGAATACTAGATATATGAAGATACGATATGCAATTATAGTGGATAGAAAATAACTATAACGCAACTATTTAGTTTGCAGTATAAAAAAACAAACGTAGTGAAGGATGATCAAAAGTAATTAGAGTTCTTGGAAAATCTCAGATTCTGTTGTAGTCTACTTTTGCAGAGTTCAACATTTTATGATTTTTTTCATGTGGCATTTCGATGCATTTCAATTTCATTGAAATAAGTTATTATGAAGGAAAAGCTTTTAATCGTATAAATTTAAAAGGAATTTCTTGTTTTCAAATTAAAATTAATAAAATAGACTGTCGGTAAGAGTATCACCGAAGAAAACAATCATAGGGACACTCTCGAAATACTATTGAGATATAATACCAAAGATTTCTTGTTTTACATTTGTGGGCCCTTTTAAAATCTGAAAAAAATCAAATGAAAAATTCCACGTTTATAATACATTTATTTCGATTTTCCAGCAGATTCAATGAAAATTTGATGCGAGAACGAAGAAGACAAGTAGAACATATTGAAAAATCTCTTTAGGTAGTTTCTATTGCAGTGTTACTTAATATCATCTTTTCTTCTTCTCAAAAGAGTTTGAAAGAGTATTCGTAATGTGTAAGCTGACAATGATACGTAAATATTATTTTGTCATCTTTTAATCTCATTCTTAGACTTTTCATATATGTCCCATATCTCACATCGACACACACACCCTCTCTAAGTTTTTATAATGCACTTTGTTGTGAACTACATTTATTAGATAAAAACATGAATAAAATATTTATTTATTTGTTGATGTGCTACTACTAGATACTTCGTTCATAGTTCTCATTTATTTCCAATTTGATACTTCTGGTTTTATAAAATACGAATGTTGTATCTATCGCCAATATTACTATAGTTGAAAGCAGATAGATCATAATCAATCTTCCGGTTAAAATCTTCCAGCCGAGATATTGCTCGGCAAATGCAGCTGAAAAGAATGATATCGATATACTAAGCATAGTAATGGCTTCATATAATGAATGTATTTTTGTTTTTTCTTCTGGTTTGTGACATTTCATTAGCAATGTCGATGAAGCTACATATCCAAAATTCCATCCAATACCAACAAGAATCAGACCTATATTGAAAGAAATAATTGTCAAACTATGTTGAAATATTAGTGCTCCTATCAATTGAGTAATAAGACCAGCAAGCATAAGCAGTCGACTACCAAACCAGTTACATAAATTTCCAGAAAAAAACGATGGAACAAACATGCCTAGTAGATGGCATTCAATAGCTGTTGTTATTTGACGAAAACTGTAACCAACGACAGTCATTGCTAGAGGTGCAGACGACATTTGAATGGACATCGATGACCATGAAACAAAGCCAACAAAAGTGGCAATCAAAAATGTTCGTTGGCCAGCTATTACAAATATTGAACGACCACCAAGATTAGAATTACCATTCACTGTCATTGATGATGAACTTGATATATGTTTGGTACATTCCTTGTTCATGTGAGGAAACTGAATCATTGTTATAACGAGCAGAAGCAGCAAGCATTCGCCTAATATTACTATATAAGCCCCACTGTATGGCTTCGATAATATGTTTACTGTATGTGCAGCAAGTTCTGGCCTAGAACAAAACAAAGTAGCATAGATAGAAAAGCTTTTTGACAACAACTATGGGATCAATACATTACAAACTATGAAGTCACTTTCAATCCAAGTATATGCCTCTATCAGATCTAATACCCTTTAATGACGAAATAGTATTAGCAAGATCTCGAAACATTTGTCACTGCAAGTGAAATTCCTCCCGATAATGCACTTTGGTCGCTATATACTTCATCTTAACTTCTGTGTTATTCAAATAGCGATGACAATGACTCTTCTCTAACTGCTCAACTGATCGTACAGACCACGGCGAGTATTGGAAGAGTTTAAACGGATTTGTCATGATCCGTGGGAGTCTTGTACGTTTTTCAATGTGTTAGTTATTCGTTCCCAAAATTACTATGATTAGCAGCGGAACCACTAGGAGTGCTTATGAGAGCTCAACTCCCGCTAGATACAAATTCTGACTTCTTTACTAACTATGATATGTGTGCATGTTTTGCTCTCGTGGTGAAACTGATCTAATCTTATTTCACATTTAAATTCCATATAAATTATGCTGGAAGCTTTTGACATAAAATGCTTCCAATAATTTCAATGATGAGAGTTTTCTGAACTTAAAATATCTGACACTTTCAATAAACATCCGCCGATCTATATAATCAGACATATTCAATTCTTTCATGGTCTTCCCTAAAATTGAACACCCTTTTACTGTATTCATTTTTTGATCTTCACGATATTGATTATGTTAGGAGTCGTAGCCATTTAATTCAAATATTTTCGCAAACAAATAATTATGGTAAACATAAACCTACCCGAGTATCGAAGAAAAACAACCACCAGCTATAACCATTGCGATGGCTTTTGGAGCAAATTCTTGCGTTGAAAACTGCAATGCTACCAGACGATAGTATAATGTACACGGCACTTGTCCACCTACAAATCCAGTACTCACAATCAACAACCAATAGAGCTCATACCATGTTGCCACAATGCTAAGTCCAGATCCGATAAAAGCCATTAGAGTACCAAGATATAATGGTCGTCGGTATCCAAAACGAGCTATAGCACGGGGCAAAAATATAGACAAAATAGTACCAACTAAAAGCATTAAGCCGATAGGTATTGTAGCCAGATGCTTATTGGTAAAACGTGTGGCTGCTAACGTGGTCGTACTTATTTGAATATAATTTATGGCTTGACCAAGACTCCATGAACATGCCAATAGGAATACATTCCGTAACATTTTTCGAAACAGAGGATCAGCCCATCGAACGCGGAGTCCATTCAGTGACCAAAATGATGGTGGCTGAATAACAGTTCGATTCTGTTGTTGTGCAATACCGACCGATTCATCATGTCCTGAAATGTCAAGTCTTGTTAGAGCTGAATGAAAAATACATATTATTTTTAATTATTAAAATAATATAATGAACAAAATTCTAATCGTTCATGAACACCTTTCAACGATCTTGATTGTTCCTATCTATGAAATCTATATATTTTGTTACACACTTAACATATTACATAATGTTATATTCTGTATTTTTCATTCAAAATTCATTTAATTTCTAGCAATCAAGATAAATCTTTGGAAACATAGAAAATGACAGTGCCAAGAGAGAACATGAATTTCTCCCGTTAATGAGCATTTTCTAAATAAAATTATGAAATCTTTCTTAATTATTAGCTTCTCAATGTAAAAATTTATGATATCTAAACGAGTTTATATATTTTTGGAGAAAAAACCATATTGTATTCACAGATTTGTGCTGTGGCACCATCAAGATCATATGATAGTCAGCTCTTCCGAGAGGTACAGAACAAGTGTTATATTTTTAAATGAACATTTACATTATGCAGTGAACGAAACTAGAAGAGAAGACGTTCGATTTTACATCTACATACCTAAATTAATGAATCACAGTGATTTATGAATATATCGAATAGATCTCTACTTTCATACGACTAATAGTAATAAGACTTGACTGATATGCAAGAAGACAAAAACAAATTGTTTATATATTAGAAGAAAAATAAAAAAAATAAAGTTAAATTTATGAATACGAATAATCTCTTTCTAAGATAATGCAAAATGAAAAGTAACTATAATTCAAGGTACCTCTTCATTGCAAACTATTAGTGATTAGCCATGAGACATCTTTATAAGTCTTCACTATATGCCATCTTAATAAGAAAGAGCTTCTAGTCGTTTTTATTATACTTTAATTTGTCTTTAGCACAACCATTTATTTTAATTTTTTCTATGACGAAAAGTTTCATTTTGTATTTTCACCTATGTTTTCAAAAGTAGATTATATTTATTTTTTAGTTTTTCTTATGAAAGCAAGAATAAATATTAAACCTTGAAACTCTGAAAAGGTTCTGTTCAACAAAATAAATATCTTATAATTTCGATTATTGACAACGATCGACACTTATTTATTTCAGATGTATTTTAATTCACTTTAATTCTCGAGAAACTGCAGTAAAGGAAAAGAAATAATATTTTTTTTTACACAACATTTCTTATCATATTCTACTCCCATCAGTTAGCAAGGTTATCATTCATTTAAACATGAATAATCTTGCACAAATTTACAGATTGAAAAACACAAGAAAACTCAATAGTATGAGAGTTGACATCTAGAATTAGAGAAAAAATCTTTCTTTTTATAAAGAAACTATTATTGAGATCATCATATATAGAGATTTCTCATATTGGATGTTATTTTCCATGAAAAGAAGAATAATTATGTTGTTATGAGAAATATCATTAAATAGATGATTTCATCATATGCAACTAACCTTTTTGAGATAGGCCTCATGAATGATAGACTAATATACAGACAAATGCTAGACTTGTAATAGAAAACAATGAAAAATATTGAAACTTATAATAGTTTTGTCAATTGTTCGACAAGAAAAACATCTTTTATTTTATCTTAAAACACCTGCGAACGCAATTTAGACAGATGTGTTCACTTACACGCGTTTGGACTTAATTTGCTTCCTTTATTATAGTTGCCGACCATTTGGCTATGTTCAAGTGTAATGGGTGTAGCGTTGATTATTGTTCCTTTGAGAGACTCTTAAGAAATTGCCACTCACATAGTTTACTCTATTGTTCACGTCATGACTAGAAAGTCTTTTTAAACGGATTAATATGTCAAATATATTTTATGGTCACAAAACTGAATTGTTTGAATGTTCTTTAAAATATGCTAAACTATTGGAATATTGTGAAATATCATTGAACCCATAGGGTTCAATCATTTTCTATAACAATGATCGATCAGAGTGAGTAATGAATGTATATCTTAGGTGCACGAGTTCAGTACAAAAGATCGAGCCAAGGTTACTAGGATACTTGTAAGTTATCAACTGCTATTCAAAAACTGTCATCGTAACGTTTTTTAGGATTATTGACAACTGTTCGTGTAATTTTCTGTATGCAGTGCAGCCCTATGCTGAACATACACACACATAAAATCAATCAAAAACAAGATTCTATGCATCTCAACCTAATTTTTCTAAGCAAAGAATACGATGATACATAAGAAACTCATTACAAAGCATATCCAAACTAACAGTTACAAATACTATCATAACTTAATTATCTGTTAAAACATCATACATACTACTCTAGCAAGTGTATAAACATACAATGCATTTGAATAGGCGAACGAAACTCTTTGTTAGGTTAACATTTTGAGTATTTGACCTCCGCCCTAGCTTCGCTCTCCCGGTTGAATGAACGATGTGTATTAGACGTAGTTCTTAACATAGCGTCCGATTCCAAGAACCACACTAGGAAATATGTTTCTGGCAACTCATCTATAAGGCCGGGGTAAGGTGCATACACAAACCATAGAATTCAATGTTTGGAGATAGTGAAATGACGAATGTCACATGTCCTATCGATGATTATACCATATGAATACGCAAAATCTTTGGTGATCCATATGATGACTGAGTTGTAAAATTTGAAGAAAAGTACAATGTTAATGGAGAGAAATTGAAATGTCTAGTTTATACTGAGTAGTGTACATCTTAAAGTTAGTTTACTAATTGATATAACAATTAAGAACTTATATTTATTCCAATAACTATCGATTTATCTTTAAGCCTGGAGATAATAAATGACTTTGAATATTTTTCTTTCTAGTTATACAGGGGCTCATGCATATCTCTAGCTAGAATACATCGAAAAAGGAGATCATTTTAAGTATTTAAGAAATCAGTATGATTTGAACATAGAATAACTACTTAAAGTTAAAGTGATTGAACAGTTGGGAAAGCTCTTTTGTGAGATAATAATAGGTACAAACAATTTGTTCCATAAAGATATGCGTTATAGACTACTCTTGAAGATCTCTAGAATCTAAACGCCATATTCATTACGATTAACGCAGTGCAACAAGTGGATATCAAAGGAATGCTGAATTCTGACGACCTCCAGTAGTATTTACTTGTTTTCAAGGAAAAAAATCTGTACGATTCTGACAATATGCGATAATTATATTCGATAAGAAACAATGGGTTCTTTTCTTGTGAAGTTCGTTATATAATCGTATCACAAAGATTTCTAAGAAATCTGAGCTGGATTTGAATATTTTTTCTATAGAGAATACCGGTATCTAGGACAATCCCATGCTTTTTTTTCTTAGGATTCATACGAAGAAATGAGTCACCTGGGGAATTACAACAACCCTGACTACAAATTCATTGTTTCAATAATTCTCTATCGTTCATTCAACTTCTAAAACCTTACCATTTAAATTAAGAATAGCAGGACTGTATTCAATCATTCGTTGTTCTGTCGTATTAGTGTCTTTCAAATCTTCAGTTTTACCATGTCTTAATGTTATCGTGTCTTGAGATAATGTATTATCATTAGTGGATACCATGATTGGTACTTCATTTTGTGTACCACTGCCCGATGTTGTACGGTGACATGATTCAATATCCATGACCACGTCTTTTTCAGAGTTGGTGCATTTATCTACGACATAGGATTCGACTTGGTTCGTAGATGTTTTCATCTAGAAATGACATATGGATCTGTTCATGGTCTTCTTTTTTTCTATTTTTAATCGCATCCACAAAAAAACTACCTTTTCTATAGCAAAAAAAAATTTTCAATACGACATAGAGTAACATGCTTTATCACCATGATAAAAAAAATATGCTGTTGATTGTTGGACACAACACAACAATGACGAATCATTTCAGCTTCTTATCTTTTCTGTCCTTTTTCCCTTGTATTCTAACGGTATATGTAAAATGATACTTTATCAACATTAAGATGTGCTGTGGTTTCAAAAAACAACTGTGACCGAAAGATAATCAATTTGACTCTACTTTTCAAACGTTTAGATCAACATAACAGTTTCTTCATCGTTCATATTTGGCGTAGTTCAGCAGTAACGATCAGTAATGGAATCAGTTCGGTTTCACAAAATACAAACCGAATTCCATCACTGGTAGTGATATTTTTGAAGATAACTAATGCTGTTGAAAAATTTTTAAATTGTATCAAAGTGATGAAACAAAATCGAATGACGTAGACTGAAGTCTCTCAATAACGAACACCAACGAAACCGTTCAGAACATGTTCACTATTTGAAGATTCTACATTGACTAAACCCGTGCATATATGAAGTGCATAATTAATATGACTGATTAATGACTATACATCTTTCGGGTTAGAATTCACTCCAGCGAACACAAAAAACATATATTGGGTGGACCAAAAGTCATGCACCCGAGAGAAAATCTAATATCTCTGCTACGACTCGAGCGAATGAGCTGATTGTTTTATATCGTTGATAGAGACATGTCTAAGGTTTATATCTATAACGACATGCCTAGAGAGACCCTTTGTTAAGTATCACTATTGATCTCAGCAAAAAAAATTTCACTTTTTCACAGATAGGAAAAAAAAGGTGTGGATGTGTGGTTGTACAAGAAAGATATATTGACACCCACACCCACACATCCATTTCTACTAGATGATAATACGTTTCTGTTAGGAAAAGTCCATTTCTACTACAACGTGTCATTATAATAAAAAAAACATTAGAACGATTTTTCTCTAAGTCTTGTTGACTTCTGCTTGTGAAGGATGAATTGGATGAATGATTTCTCCTTTAGGGTATCCCCCTCTTTTTTTCTCTTTTTTTGAACATATCCAGCTCTCAACAAGTGTAAGACCAATCGAGCTGAAACTTTTACCACATCTAGAGCATAGTAAATGATGAGACTCGTTTTCGAAGAATTAATTGGAAAGTGTGTTTTTAAGTATATTCTGAGAAAACTGTCTGTTTTCAAAGGTATCCATCAGGCCTCAATATAACCCCCCTCTAAGTTTGTCTGATAGGCCTGAAAATTTTATCATAGATACTTGTAAGTGTCTTCTAGAGGTGTTTTTGACCGTTCTCAATTCTGACTATTTTTTGCGGACTTATAGGATTATCAATATGATGAATTCGCTTGTCAGGAAAGGAGGCGCCAGTATTTTTTGAATAAACCAAAAAGAAAGCGAGGTTTTAAAAAATTCTTGGAAAAACCTCTGAGATATTGTCTCAGCCACCACCAAACAAAATATCAGCCTTATATGATGAAAATAAGTAGGGATCACAATGGGTCCCGATGGAGACCTTTGAAAATAGACAGTTTTCACAGAATATACTTAAAAACACGCTTTCCAATTAATTCCTCGAACACGGGTTCCATCATTTTCTGCGCTCTAGATGTGATAAACGTTTCAGCTCGATTAGCCTTACTCTCGTTGAGAACTCGATATGATCAAAAAAGAGGAGGGTGGGTACTCTTAAATATTTTACATTTCTACTAGAAAAAATCCATTTTTGCTAGATAATGTCTTTACGATAAAAAAGGAAATATGATCAATATAACCGTAGAAAGGGTTTAACGATTTCTTCTATCTGAATATTGCCTTTCATCTGTTGTATATTGTCTGAAGTAATAGATTCTTTTCGTGAATAAAGAGTTTCTCCTTGACTTCGTGGTGGGATGAAGCATATCTGCTTGGAATGGAACAATTTGGCGATTTTGCGGCATATGGTACAGCGCTGCAAGAAAATATTTAAAAAGAACAATACATCGATATTGAAGATGTTTCGAAACTTGATCGTCTTTTAAACACTCAAAATCGATGTTTTTAATAGATATTAATTGATCTTAGCTTTATTGATGATATTCAACCATCATCTACTGCAGATTATGGACTAGCTGAAGATGTATTGACTGAAATAATATCAAACGAGGATTATGACGTTGAAGACTTATTAGTAGCTGCAATGAATATATAATTAGCTGGAAAAATAAGTTTTCTACTATACATTTTTTTTCTTGTTCATCCAGTGATGTTATATGTTTATTGTTCTAATTACACTTGAATTTTCAAATAAATTATCGGTTGCATCATTTCTATCTATCTTACTCAACAACGTCTTTTGCTACACTCATTAATTGAGATTATAGATCTATAAAATGTGACCGAATTGAAATAGTTGATAGTTATAACTACGATTGATAGGAAAGTTGATGGTTATCAGCGAATTAATTTTTCAACCAAAAAGTTGATCGGTTATAACTTAAAAGTTATAACTAGAACAGTTTTTACTTCTACAGTGGTTCAAATTTTTTGGGAAGCCAAGATCGGAATTTGGCACCTCTACTTTTGAAGATAAAACTAAAATAGTTGCACATAATGAATGATCATCATCTGCATCAAATTCCGATAGAATAAACCATTTAACACCTACATCAATTTGCAGATTCAACAACAATATCATCAAAATTATTTGAAAAACCAACATCTTCAGCAGTCGGAAATGACAACATCTTGACCAGCAAGAAAGTATACTAACATTCAAGGTAAAATCAGCAAGAAGACCTATGAGAATATGTTTATCAGTAGTATCAATGCCACTAACCAACAAAATATTTTTGTAAGTATTTTAGATATTTATATCACTAATTAACGACGTCTAAGGATAAATAGATATTTCTAAGTGCTATTATTTATATGTTTTTTATCAGATCGTAACGATCATAAGGCACGAGGTAACTTAATATATTTTCCATTGTTAGATTTGCATCATCATAATCACAAGCAATGTCACAAGAGACAAAAAAAATGATGAAACAAGACATCGAATTTAAAATATAGCTTATTCAGTGTGCAAGCATTTTCCAAGAAATATGTAATCACAATTGAATATAGCAAACGCATGATTTTCCGAAGGTTTGAAAAACCTATCTTGTATAAATTTAACTTTGCTTTCCGATGAAAAGCATTAACACCTTTTAAAAGTACGTCCCATGTAAAAAACTTCTTTTTTTTTGTAATCGAAGATAGTGCTGTTTAAGCTTCAGATTTGTTTTCATCGAAGGAAAGATTTACTATTTTCGGAAGCGGTACGATGCACACATCATTTGTCGCATCAGTTTCCTCTCACTTTCGAAATGCATCATCTTAGTTTTGAATACATGTAAAAGTGAAGGCGAAACGAAAGATTGTTCGCTTCAAAACTTATAAAAAAACATGACGATACAATCTATTCTCAGGTGTCTTACACTTTCATTTGATAAAGACTTTTATCAAATATGACATGAAATATATTTACGAAAGATTTGAAAAACGTTACAGATAAAAATGAAAGATAGAAGTTAGTCAATGAACGGTTGTTGTTCGACGTTGAAATGTTGTTGTTAAACGAAAAGTCTCTCTAAATGGTACGACGCGATTTCTTTCTTGATTTCTGCATCTGAATATCTTCTTTAAGGCATCCAAAACTTGTTGTCTGTATCGTTTCGAAGCTGCACAATAGCAATAAAAGGAGCCCTAAACAACACATTTTATAATATATTGTGTGAAATACGATGAACAAATCTTACTGCATAGATGCCAGATAATGCGACATTAAAGAAAAGTTGAGCAAATTGTTCTTGTGCTTGACGATAGGCATCCTTGTTCCAATTGGCACTGCCAAGAAAATAAGCTTGTGCTATGGCAAATGGAGTTGAAAAGATATTTAGATTGATTATTTGAAATAGAGCCATGCTTGTCATTTGTCTTGTTAGTCTTGATAGAGAACGTTGCCTGCCTTGCAAGAGCACAGTGCGAATATGACGATAAGAGAAATAGCCAAATATGGAAACTATGCTAATAGGAATGACTGTGAAGAATCCAAAAGCAATGAAGTATGTACGATATTGAGTATATGCAGGATTGGTAGACACACATCTTAAGTTGATTAGATTTTGAAGAAAGAAATAGGGTAATTCATGTCCTATCCAAAGGAAAAGAAATCCTATGATTAAGATGTGAGCTGTTCGTACATTACTCTTCTGACGCCAGTACGGAGAATTAGATGTAGCCAAGAATGTATCAATCGCATGAAGACAGAGACATGTGTAGGAACAGAATGCGCTAATATAGAGGAGAGGAATTCGAGTTTTACACCACACAAAATTTGTTGACATAGAATCAATACGAAGTCCACGACTGAGAATCAGCGTGAAAAGACCGATGAAAAGAGCAATCAAATCAAAAAAGGATTTAGCGAGAATGTAGAATGAACTCGCATTATGTTTGTAATTTCCCAATGTAATGAGTGTAAGAATATTGAGAAGATTTCCAACAACTCCAAAGGAAAGTATGACAAAACCAAGTGCTATGGTAACATATTGTGATATAAGTTGGAGTTGAGCGATGCTTGATGCTAGGTTTACATTCGAAGACATGTTTAAAATTAATGTTAGGATGAATCTCTGCTTCTTTGCATCTTCTCAAACACAAACACTGAAAGATGAAAAGAAAAATCTAGATACGCACATTCAATTAAGTCTATGAGTGAGAGAGAGAGAGAGAGAAGAAATACTCTGAAAGCTGTTATACAAGCCTTTAGGTATAGAGGTATAAGGCAATGTTTGCAAATTAAGTTAATTGTTTGGAGAAGAAGAAATGCCCCCAAAAAATTTTTACATCATATATATGAGAGTATCGTAAAACTCAATCCTTTTATTTGCTTATATGCGTGTTTACAACTCACTCTTTGTTAGGGTCAAATAAATAAAAATCTCATCTAGGATATTCCACAACGATGAAAAAAATGCCTATAATATTAGTGTTGTTAATAGGTGGCTTTAATAGCCAAGAGGCACCTCTAGGTGACGACAAGCGTTCGCTCACTAAATCATATATGTATACGTAGTGTCAATAAATTAAAGCTAGATAAAGCTTGAAATAAAATGCGTATATCAAGAAAAACAGTGGATTCCATTAGAGTTCATAAAATATCATAAGATACTGAGATTGCTCAATCGAATAAAATGCTGCAGAAGCTAATGGAATATTACGGGAAGAGCTGTGAAAAGTCACAAAATTGTTTATCATAATATGTATCTGATAAAAGATAAAGTTTGAATGTTCATGAAACTAGAGCTTTAACAATAGCCGCAGCCTCATAGAACGACAATCGTGCTGGAATTCTCCGCAATCTTGCGAAACTCTGCTTGATTTCATAAAACTCTCAACGATAGCTTTTTATTCAGAGATCTCCTAAATTCTTATAAACTTTCAAATCGAGGATGTGGGTGTTGATGTGGATGTGGGTGTGAGTGTGGGTGTTCTTCAGTAGCGCCCATATTTCCACAGATACCCACGTCCACGCTCACATCCACACCCCAAAACTGAAAAAAAAAATCTTCTAGTTCCGACGAAAATATGTCCTATCGTGCAATCGCTCTTTATGCTAGGGTGTATTTTACTATGTATTTTGTAAAAAAAAACAATCGCTCTCTCGGTCTTTCAATTCAGAAAAATACAACAGTTTCTCGTCACTTGAATATTTAACAAAAAAAAATATTCGAAACCAGATTTGCTCTTGGACAATTCCAAAAATCTGCTTCTGAGTTTTGCTGGCTAAACATTTTTCAATAATAACACCCTGTTATTTTTCGAAACTCAATGACCGATAGAGCAAACATTTCTTTATATAACCTACTCTTAAATATTACTCTCGCATAGAGAAAGAGTTATATAGTGCAACATTTTTCTGTCGCGTTCAAACACCTTCTTTTTTTACCCCTAAAGAGTTCTATTCAAGCACGTCAAAAACAGTTTGTTGTGATAATTTTTTAATTTCTAAACGATAATTACTTCTTAATGAAAGCGGTCATTTGCAAAATGAGTATATTTATATGTTGACAACATCAAGGATATCCTGTAATGCCTGAGGATAAAATGTCAAAAACATTTTAATATTTTCTCTTGACGTACAAGATTGAATTTTTTTATTATTACATTATATATCTAATCAAAATCTTTAATTTTTCAAAGTTTCAGCTCTTTACCTAAAACTGATGTTGAAATGTATGAACAAGATTAACAGACATGAATTGTCTTACTAGGCTTTTGTAATATTTTTAGTATGTATTCAATCCAGGTAAAGCGATTAAGATTTGTTTTAACTATTGAGGAATGTATTCATATCTAAAATCTATTAGATTTAATGGTAATTTTTATCTTGAATGTTCATCAGTCACGATAACAGAAAGGAACACAAATAGTTTGTATTGAATTTAAACCATCTTTAAACAATACAAAGTGTTGCCTACATGGTTCGTAGCAAAATAATTTAATAAATGTATAGAATCAGTCAATAGTGATGCTAAATTCGTTGATATATAAAGAAATGAGAATGTCTAGGATACACTGAGGAAAATAACTCGTGGAAAAGTATTTGATCCATCATTATAATTAGAAGAAGAAAATAGGCAAGAATAGAAAAAATTTTCAAAAGAAAAATATGTAAAAATGATAGATGAAATATCTTATTAATTACAATTGGTCATAGAAAGCCATGTAGAACATGTTCATACACATTGAGTTTTATTAAAATTTGTATTTTTGAAAAAAATTGTCTTGTAAAGTTTTTTTTTTCTATCAGATATTTATAAATATCATTGGCCAAGAAATAAAGATGTCACAAAAATCAAGTACGATAATTCATGTATTTTAATCTGATCCATCTATTTGAACAATAGTTTTAGCTAGAGAGCTGAAACTTGTTCTCTTCCTTAATTGTTATCGGACAGTCTTTATTCATGTGTATTTTTAATAGATGTGCTCATTTTAAATGAATGAGTCATTAATAATGATAAACAATTTTGATTGTTAATTGCTTCAATTACCTACAGACTTTGTAGTAGTTGATTGAACAAGAAAAAGAGATGGAATGTCTCGTACTTATTTTGATCGAACAGGCTGATGTGTTCATTAATGATAATGTGCGACTCTTAGCTTAGATTCATCAGAAGAATGTTAACGAATGCTTCTTTGAAATAACATAACTGTCTACTAACATTCTACAATTGATGAAAAAATACGACATACCGTGGCACTCAATATTGATCTTAGACCTTATTTTTTTAATTATAAAAGCGTGTAAAACTGTGCTAAAACATTGTTCAAAACGCTTTTCTAGTTCGAAATCACAAAATATGCAGTATTTCACTGCAAAATTTACATTTATTTTTATACGAAGTATACGATCAATTTTGAGCGTCACTATGTGTATTCTAATGACCGAAAATGCAGAGTGTACTTCTGACTTTCTCAATAATTCTTTATATTATTAACTAATTCATACAAAAGATATATACATATCTTACTTTTTAATGTACTCTCAAAGTTCAATCCATGCAAACCAAAAATTTGTCGACTACTAGATGCTTTAGATGTACTTGAGGGTGTGGGTGTGGATGTGAGTGTGAGGGTGTAGGTGTCGGGTGGGGGTGGATATAGGTTGTGTGTCAATCGGGATGTGGATATCAATTAATACAACACCCATATCCACCCCACCCATATGCACACTCACACTCACACCTACCCACATCCGCCCCACCCATATGCACACTCACACTCACACCTACACACATCCACCCCACCCATATGCACACTCACACCTACCCACACCCACACCTGCCCACATACCCACACTCACACCCACACCTACCCACACTCACACCCACACCCACACCCACACCCAAAGTAAAATTGAGTTACTTTACTTTACCGGTAAAGTAAAGTTAATCTCTTTAATTTACTTTACTCGGTATAGTTAGTCTACTTTACTTTACTGGATAAAGTAAAGTGTATCTACTTTATCCGAAAAGCAAAGTAAAATAAAGTAAAGTGAAGTGTCTCTAACTTTACCGAAGGAGTAAAACGTCATAAAATAAGATAAAGTAAAGTATGCAATTGACGGTTATTGCTTTATTAGTTTATTATCAGACATTAATCAAATTCAAATACGTCAAAAGCTGCGTCGAAATACCGGCCGACAATCCCGAAGTATCTGAACCTAATTTTAATACCTTGAAAGTTGGCATTGAGCCCTGACTATTCAGTGAGCTTTGGATCCAAGCAACTAGGTATGCACGGCGACAACTAACACCAAAAAAACAGTCAAAAATTCATTTTAGGAGGACGAAGGTGCGAAATAGAAGTTTTCAAGGTGATATCTCTCTTCAATTTCTTCAATAACCTCCTGGTAGCGCATCTATGCATGATATACTTCTACATTACGAAGCATTTCATCTCAAAACCATATTGCTGACTTCAAAGAGTTTCTGCTACATGGAATTAGTCCTGTGCACACATTCTCTAGATTATTCTGACTAAAAAAATGGAGTATTTCTGGAAAGATGAGCATAAATCTGCTAGTGTTTCACAGTTCTACGCGCTAATAAGCCGTGCCAATAGTTTATTGAACAAATGCAGAAAAAATATCATCTTAAAAACTGCTAGTTCGCAGTTTCTTCCTCTTAAAATGAATTTTTGTTTTTTTTTATACCTGTTGTCGCCCTCCATACTTAATTGTTTGAATCCGGAACTCATCGTATGATACAGTAGCCTCCTTGATATACAAGCTATGGCGTGGTAATCTCTTCCAATATCTCTATCTGAGCTCTATACAGAGTTACAGCTCTGAATATTTCACTATAAACTTGTGATTTGATAATGAGTCATTACTGCCATTTTCAGGTGTATTGATTGGTTTTAG